AATATGTTTAAATGTGTGTAAAAGTATAATAAACTTATTTCATTTAATGAAGAAAAAAGGAATACGAACCCGAAAATTTTCCAATTTTCCGGGCCTATTCGTAGTAAGGATGGTGCCGCTATCTCGCCTGTTTTTATCAAACTTGAAAATCAATATATCACAGCTCTAATTCGGCATTATCCTTTTCAGGTTACATTCTAGACGTATTGTCAAAACTCATTCTCCTAACTCATAATCCTTCTTTCAATCGTAATTACATTCACTGAATAATTAAATAGTTTAAGCATGTGTCCATGTGTGTACAATGTACTATGTGTATATGAAAAGTTTGGAAACATTTAATTAGTTTTCAAGTAAACAATTTATTTTTCTTTCCCGAAATTACGTAAATTTTTTTCGAGTAAGTAAAAGCAAATAAAACAACAACTAAGTGCTTATTTCAGTATTTTCTTTTCTTTAGTAAATTGATACTATATCTGAAATAATGGAACATTACTTACTTATTACATACGATTAAAAGTCTATTTTATGGTAGCTATCAAATATGTTCTTAAAATTGAAAAGTAATTGGTTTTCTCGCATGTCCTACATATAAATTGTATTTCCTCGTAGAATGAGTAAGAAAAACGAAAATCGTCTCATCGAAAACCAAACAAATGGTAGCAACCATCTTCTGGAGGAAGATAGGGTAACTGTCATTGATGGGGGCTTCTCTACACAATTAAGTTGCCATGTACAAGATCCCATCGATGGTGACGTACTATGGAGTGCCCGTTTTTTATCAACAAACCCACAAGCTGTCATCAATACTCATTTGGATTTTCTCAGAGGTTTTTATAAATGGAAATTGTCTCTCGAAAAATGCTTTTAAAGAAATTTATAGAATTTGGCGAACTCTTTGATTACGCATTTGATTTATTAATGGCGCAACATGAAATAAAATAAATGTTGTCTGAAATGCAAATATTTTTAGCGGGCGCTGAAGTTATCATCACAAACACATATCAGGCTAGCATTAGTGGTTTTGTTGAACACTTAAATTTAACTAAAGAACAAAGTTACGACCTTATAAAAGAAGCTGTAAGTTTAGCCAAACAGGCAAGGTTCCTTTTTGAAGAGCAATACTTTGAGGATGGTAAGTATATAATACCAAAAAAGGATTATATTTTATGGGACATTTATAATTACTGTTTTGAATAGTAATATTCTAAAAAAAATTACGATCTATCTAACATAATGCGTATTTATTTATTTATTTACAATCGATTCAGTTCTACGTTTGCTCGTAATTTAATTTTATTTGTACTTTGATTCACATCTACTTCACGTTATCCTTGTTAAGCTTCAAGGCGACTGAGAAAACCGCTCATTGCTGGTTCGGTTGGTCCTTATGGGGCTTCCCTTCACGATGGTTCTGAATATACAGGATCTTACTCAACCACTACCTCGGTCGAAACCATGGAGGAATATCATCGACCACGAATCGAAGCTCTCTTAGAAGGAGGTGTTGATCTATTAGCAATGGAGACAATACCTTGTAAAAAGGAAGCAGAGATGCTAGTCAAACTACTTAAAGAATATCCTCATATTAAGGCGTGGTTGAGCTTCAGTTGCAGTGTAAGCCATTTTTTTGATTAACGAATGATGAAAAATAATATTCGAATTGGTCAACTTTACCAAGACTTGAACGTGTGGTATTTTCTTCAGCAAGATGGAAAATCAATATCATGTGGTGAAGATTTCCAAGAGGTTGTGAGGCATTGCTATGATTTAAATCCTGATCAATTAGTGGCTGTGGGTGCCAATTGCTTGGCACCGCGTCTAGTAAAGTCTTTATTTGATGGAATCAATAACGAAAGGGAAAATAATCCAATTCCATTGATCGTTTATCCGAACAGCGGGGAAACATACAACGTGGAAACTGGGTATGAAAGGCAAGGGCTTCTAAGATAATCATACTAACAAATTATTGCAGAAACATCATCGTTATTTAATGGCATGGTTTTTGCAACCCCATTTTTTGCTTTTTGTGGAGCGACGTAATTTCAGTACCTAACTGTTAAAGCGCTTTATTTTGTCGTTTTGTGAGTGTCTATTTTTAAAGAAATACCATTTTTCTCGAAAAAGAAAATTATTAATTATTTTATTGAGAAAAATAAGCTATAGGCGAATACTCATTTTGAAACCGAATATGGGTTTGTTATTTTGAAACACTTTACCTGAAACATTATGGCAAGA